ATTTAGAAGTACACAGTATGTGGCTTTTTACACAGTAATTTTCTGTTTGCCCTATAAACTAAGTCTTTAACAGAAAGTGTCACTAGTTTTCAAAATGACATTATTTGCTGAAAGACAAACAAAGACAGAGATTTAATTCACAACAAGGGTGAGGGTTTGTACCTCCAGTGGCCTGTTCCTCCAGCCAGTTCCTGGTAATCAGACTATATTGGATACACCTGCATCCGCTGGGACTCTTGCAGCCATTTTGGAGCTGCTTCTCACGGTGTAAGGAGGTGAGCCCGTACCGGGGCTTCTTTCTACGGTTCTAACTTAGATTTTTTTTTTAATTTAAATCCTTTTTTATTACTGTATGTAGATGAAGGCCGGTAGGGCTAACTTGTGCCCGTTTTGCTATGGGACTTATGTGGCTATGTCAAATTACTTGAAGTGGAGACACATGGTCCAGAACCAGCAAGAATTAAGGCTTCTTCTAAGTTTAGCCTGCGGAAGAGTCAATGTACGTAACTTAGCATGTCCCATCCAGGGCTGTGACTACAACCGAGGTAGGCTGGACAGAGACATACTCCAGGGRCACCCAGAACTCAGKGAGACGGACAGAGCTTCRGAGCTCCACCGGGTGAGACRAACTGTTAMCATGAACCTGTTTAGAGCACTCAAGGAGGCTGAAAGTGGTCCGTCGGTTGGCTTGGACCTCCAGGTGGAGGTGGTCAGTGCAGGAGCCGGTGAGCCGGAYGGCGGAACTGCACCGGGGACGGTCCCAGTGAGCTGTGGTGAGCCCCTGGACCCAAAGACGCTCCGAGGCAGCCCAGACACACCTTTGGCGCGCCCTGTACGCTCATTCCTGCKCGACTTCGGGAGATTTTTCACAGGGAGTCATCCGAATGCTAAGCTGTGAAAAMACACCYGGTCCAAAGCAAACCGGGTCAGGGCCTTTTTAGAGCTTATGGCCCGAGGGCACYAAGACTTGGAGTCATGGCTCTTCGTGGACAATGTGGACCAGATCCAGACGTGGCCAGCGGAGTTGACCACAGCCAGGAAAGCCATCACCACTGTGATTGTGTACCTTAAAAATGTTCATCAGTTTTGGCTCTATTTCCACGTTCCTGCCGCWTGTCAAAGCGTCAACAGACCTGCATATCCAATTACATATGAGTCCTCTTCCCACTCCAGGTGAAAATAATAAGTTTTTGTTTGCTTGTTAGCTGTCTTTCGTTCATTTTTTTCCCGCCTCGCTGCTTTGTTGAGAACACGTGACCCTAAAGTCTTGCGAGACCGTGTTCGGAGTGCTGTTTCACTGCACTCAAAACTCGCGAGACCACGTCTGTGAGTGGAGCTGACCAGCCAGCTCGTGAGCTGTGCTGGGGAGGGCGGAGGGAGCGTGTTCAAGGTTGGAATGTAAACTCCTCCCGCCTCCCACCTCCACCGCTTCTGCCGGAGAGCTCAGCGAGCGGACATGAGTCCCGGCCCGAGCGCAACTGTTGCTCTCAGCTGATGAGCCAGCTCTCAGCTGTAGAAGGAAGGTTGTGCTCCGTGAGCTACCGGGAACCAGCTGACGAGCTACTGGTCGATCGCGATCGACTGGTTGGGCACCCCCTGGTCTAAGGACACCGTCATGTAGGCCTCGTAGCCCACAGTGTTTATGCTTTAGACATGCCCACTCTTGTGACACGCCCACTTTGATTCCGCAGATAACACCTTCTTGAGGAGGCTGCGGCCTGCGGGAGGGGAGAGAGGAAAAAAGGAGCTTGTAAACAACGTAGCATGTGCCGTGTCCGCACTATTCTGGCACTGTTAAAGGCACCGTTATTTCTGGAGCTTATCGATCCGGTCAAAATTCATCACGTGGAACCGGTACTGAAAAAAAAAAAAGGTGTCGGTAGCATCCCTACTTTTGGTTTTGAACGAGTTACTTTGTCACATAGGGACATTCGTCATTACACACGGTGTACATGATGATGTTATCACATCACATGGGTGGAACCATGGGTTTTGTCAGGAGGAACCCCCCTCCCACTTTCACCTTGAGCTGCAGTACCCCACCCCTCTGCTAATTTACTGTGAAAAAAAGGAAGAACAATTATCTTTATCGTTAAGTAAGAAAAAAATTATATCATTTAGAAAAATACTACAAATGGCTCTTTACTGGCCACAATTTGGTTCTTATATTTTGTTTTAAGGAGACAGTCAAAAGATTGTTTGCGAGTGCCACATGATTAAACTCTGTCCAAAGAAGTAACAATGCAGCATCTCTGATCCCTTGGTTCCGCACAGCTTTACAAAGTGTCCACAAACCTTAAGTACAAGCCAGGACTTTGAACATAAGGAAATGCATTTCTTCACAGACAGTTAACCCCTTAGTACATGACTGTACAGTAAGCTGATTCAAGGAAAAATAGGGCATAAAACTAAATAAGTTGGAAATCATGGCAAACCAATGACAATTTTGTGAACTTATGTTATCCTTCAAAAAAGTCCACAGAAAGCATTCAATACAAAAATCCAGGCTGTTTCTTCCTTATATTTAATTTATGGTCCTATAAGTTTAGTGATGGTTGTACATCTATTTTCACTATGTCAGTCTCTAAGGGTTGAAAATAAAAATGTAAACAAATATTTTGAATACAGAGATGCCAACATAGCAAACAATTGTATGTTACAGGCAATACAGTGTTTACTACATTGAGTTTGCCCTTTTAATTTGAGTGTACAAAAAGGTGTTGGTGTGTACAAAATGTATAACAGTATTATAAAATGTGCTGCAAACTGTAATATGTAATAGAATGTAACCTTGATTGTCTCTGATAGTGAAGTTTGGGTTAATGTGCTCCTCGGGCACCATAGAGAAGTAAAAGTGGTGTCCTTCCACCGGACTGTCTGGATCAACTGCACTGAGAAGCTGAATGACCTCAAGAGACACAAACAGGCAAAACAGACAATTAAAAAATGACAAACAATAAAAAATTATAGAGTTCCACATGTCAAAATTTTTTCATTAAAAATGACTCAAATGTAGCAGCTGTTGAAGTAACATGTACCTTCTCTCTAGTAATCAAATATTTCTTCTCACTTCACTGTTTAAAGTGATTATCAGAATTGCTGTAGTGTAATAAAATATCCCACATTAAGAGAACATTTACAGACTGAATCTTATGTATATTTCGACACTACTGTGCAGTAATTCATCAACGCAAGGACAACATAATATACATACTTCTCCAGCCTGCGTGCCCTCACAGATATATGGGTGGTAATCCCTGGCAAGCCGTGGCACATTGTCGTTTATGTCCAGCACTTTGATGAACACCACCACAGTGGAGGATAAATGGTTCTGTGCTGCGGTAGTGAAGACAGACATTTGCTGAAGTCCACTGGGTGCATGTATCACAGAYGCTTTGTGAAAGCTGTGTCAAAATAACACTTAAGACTGATAAATGTTTCGTGTTCCCACATTGTTTACACCGAAACAAGACCAAAACAACATTGCTGAATTAATTGATAACAGTGGTCCAGAATCAGCAAGTTTTCGATCGAATGCTTGCCTCATTCTCATCCTCATAGAGCTTGCTTAGATCATTATCTTAATCTAAAATTAAATGAATAATGCCACAGTTTCAAGCTACATTATATCATGAGTGACAAACTTATAGATGTTTTAGTCAAACCTCATAAATTTTTCTGTGTGTATAGAGCAAAAATACCTCATGAACCAATGCATGGATTTAAATAAAACTTTGAGAAACAAACCATCTGGTGTACATCTGCAACAAATTAACATGTGGAGTCAACCTATTTTAAGATTGTTCTTTATTTTGCTAACATTTTACCAAATGTTCAATTTTAGGCTAAAAGTTCTGTTCTAAATCTAAAGGTAAAAATCTAAATGTAAAACAAAAATCTTTAATGTTTAAGTTTACAATTAAGTATTTTGGAAATGGAAATCATCATTTGCCATTGGTGCTCAGCTCTTGTTAGAACATCATCATCCTGAGACAAAAGCAACTCCTGCTAATGCTGCTAATAYGGCCAACACTGCTATAACACTTCCCTACAAGACATCAAACTTGCAGTTTTGGCGTGTGTCCGACCTGCACTTCAAACTGCCAGACTACAGGTACCATCCATATTGTTTTCAGTGAACACATTTTGAACTTAAACTTTAAATGTCAACTTCAGCAGCTTTAGCAGCATTATCAGCATTAGTGTATGCTTTATCGCAGGATGATGGCATCRTAACATAAGCGACACACCAACAGTAAAGTGTAGATAGCCATCTTGAATTAGGTTGACTCTATAGATGTACATCCAGCGATTATTTTTCTTGTAAGTTTTATTCAAATCCATGCAGTGGTTCATGAAATATTTTGCTAACTTRACACACAGAAAATACTCCAAATTRTTAATTGCACAATTTTAAAGCTCTTGTTTCTATCAGWTCTTAGAATATGTGTTGTGGATGACTCTCAGCTACAACCACACAAAMAGTTGATATTAGTACAGGGGTGGGCAAWACTAGAGGGCTGCAGCCCTGCRTGTTCYACTTTTTTCTCTGCTCYATCACACYTGATTTGAATGAATGRGTGAYTATCGGGCTTCTGCAGAATATGGAAGAAGTTATTCAATGACTGAATCAAGTGTGTTTGAGCAGGGAAAAARGTAAAACTYGCAGCGCTGCRGCCCTCGAGGATCAGGATTGCCCACCTCTAAACTGTTAAAATAGACTGTGGCAGCATTAACTCCAAAAAGTTGTAGATGTACATTTATCATCCTATTTTTCAAGTTTTATTAATAATTCATTCAGTGATGTGTGAGATATTTTTATTCTAGACAAACACGCACCCACATAAGCACACATTTCTCTGCTTAGGTCTGCCACCTAACCTTTTTTATATAATCTGTTTCCAAACTTTATGGGAGAGCTTCTCAAATACAATCATGCTTGACTATAGCCTTTAATATGTAAATGTGCACCTATCTAAAATAAGAAAAAAATAGCTTTTTATTACAARTAATTTTCATGAGACGAATGCAACAGATTTACAGATTCATACAAATGTCAGCCATTCATTTCTCATATCCCCTTGTTAAACCCGGATGTAAGGGTGAGACATTCAACAACAGATTAAACTTCTTTCTTCTTGGCAAAAACCAAAGCGTACCTACAGCATAAAAAAATTAATRATATGCACGAGTTTGTTTGTGTGCAGCTATGAACTAAGCAACTTGATTGTATGTTTTACTGCACAAGTTTAAAATGTACACCTTGTCAGGACTGACTGCTCTAAACAAACTTGWTATCACCACATTGTTCGAACAGTTTTATGCAAGCTTCTAATGGGAATGAGGATGAATGTGCAGTAGCCATATCAACAAGATCCAAATAATGAAGAAAAAACAAAAAATAAACATCTTACTTGTTTCCTTGGCTTCGACAGTCATGTTGTGCCACTCTGTAGTCTCTCGGTCCAAAGCTTTAGCAACAGMTACGGTTCCATTGTTCGGGTGTATTTTGAAAGCTTTTGTGGCATCGCTTCTTTTGTCAATTGAGTATCTGGAAGAAAATTTACAGGAAGGCACATTTTGCAGGGGCAGGTTGTTTTCTGGGCAAACAGCACATTCCAACACCATGGAGACATTAATTAGGCAAACTGCTCACATGTTTTTATCCTATGAGATATCCAACAAAACAAAAGTGACAACAACATGGTAGAAACAGCACCTTGCACTGATTGCCTAGACTTTAGGATGCACCAGTTTATATGCACTTTATTTGTATTACTTTTAATCACACTACACTCTTTATTGGATTTTTTTAATCAGGATATTTTTTTTCCATCAGGGAAGCAAAGTAATACAGTAAATGAATATGTGTGTGCTAATTTGTTGATAAGAGCACAGGAAATTAAGCAATTTGACCGCAGCAAACAAAATCACATTTACTAGAAACGTGGAAACCCCTAAAATGTCAGGCTGAATTTATTAACCAATGAGATGCTGTCACCAGAGGGACAGTAATAGACACTTCGCCGAGGATGATATGCAGCACCTGCCACTCTTAAGCTCTGCTGAGATGGACTACAGGCACCCAGTTGTAAGGCTGTCTCCTGTGCAACGTGCCCCACTTGCAAATGACTGCAAATCTTAATTCCATATGCCACATCGTATGGTGCTTTATTACATTCACACATCCTGGCGACATCGCTTTGTGATAATACCATGCCAATAGATAGAAAAGCCCATGAGGTGTGAGAAAAAAATGCCATGATTTATTCAGGAGGGCTCATTTCCCACTAAAGTAATATGAGATAAATATGACCATGTATAGGATATCTAGAGATCAAGGGTAAAAATGGATGCACCGAGGCAGTAACACTATTTGAAATGGAATGATTTTTCACCCTGTGGAGGAAGCTGTCAGAGGGTGTTCCACCCACGCCAGCTGGGGTTTCTTCCTCGTCATTATCATACTCGTTGTTGTACGCTGGATGGCAGATGCCATTTTTCCTGGGTTTTGACGGCTCGCATTACCTGATGGGATTGTTGTCTGTGTCAGTGTCTCTGGCACTAACACTGCCGACCACCGTTCCCACAGCTGCATTTTCAGGAATGTTCCACTCATAGATCGGCGAGAGGAAGACAGGTGGCTCGTCCACRTTCTCCACAACAACTTTGAGCGTGGTCCTGTCCCTGAACTCATCCAAAGTCAGGAAGCGGGTGTCGATRTAATCGTTGACTGCCTCTGCAGCCATGACATAGCGTCTCTTGGATTCATAGTCTAAAGGCTGCAAAACAAAATTAATAAAAGGTCTTTAGCGAGCTATTACACAACACTTTATCATCCCTCTTTGGTTACATCTACACAATGTGGGCTTTAGAAATAATTACAGTAAGACATGATGAGGAATGGTGTTAAATTTGTTCTGGGAATGTTTATAAGCAGCCAGCTGTGAGTACACACTTAACTAATGCTGTTATGATGCTAGTAATAGGAAAACAGCAAGCAAACAATTACCACACTTGCGAAAATGATGCAGAGATAGAGTATTTTGTTTTTGTACTATATTACATTTAGATAAAAAAGACATTCCAAATGTCAAATGTAACACACACACACACACACACACACACACACACACACA